TATATATTTACTAGAGGCCCAGGGCATGAAATTCGTACACTTGGGGGAGGGGGTGTCCCTCAGCCCAGCCTGTGTCCTCTTGCAGTCCAGGAGCCCTTGGGGGATGTCCAACTGCTGACTTAGGCTGTCAGTCAGACATCCTTAGCGCTGCCACGGAGGCAGGAAAGGATCCTGTCACTGTCACTGTACTTGCCAGCCATGAGCCCGGCTTCTGGCACACTGACCACCAGGGGGCAGCTCCTGTGTTGAGTGTCTGCCCCCTGGTGGTCAGTGTGCATCATAGCGACCAGTTGTTCCGCCGTTCAATTGATTTGCATATTAGCCTTTCTATTATATAGGATATTTTTTTACCAAACTGGCTTTATAGTCTACTTTTTTTTTTTTTAGAGTAAGTTTATAATGATTTGGAATCATTTCAGCCTACAATGTCTCCAGCCCCATTGTACTCTATATTCCTTCATTTAAATAGTACCAACACGACAGAGCAGTAATTGTAAAGAAACTGAACTTGACTTAGTTCAGTTAAACTATCCTATGTAGACAACTGGAATTTTTCATCTCTGTTTAATTTAAAATTTATTTTATTTTTCAATTACAGTTGACATTCAATATTATTTTGCACAAGTGTACAGCATAAGTGGTTATATATTTATATAGTTTACAAAGTGGTTCCCCACCCACGCCCCATAAGTCTAGTACCCACCTGGCACCATACGTAGTTATTACAACATTATTGACTATATTCTCTATGCTGTACTTTACATCCCCATGACTATTCGTAACTACTAATTTGTACTTCTTTATAGTCTACTTTAAAAAACAAACAAAAAACCCTGCTTATTTCACTTTGCTTTACATCCTATTTTGTTTTACATCAAATATTTTTGGACTTGTAATCTAATGGCTGCCGAATTATAAAATCACAACGTTTGGGCATCATTGACTAAACTCTTCCTCTGAGATATTTAGGTTGTTTCCTACTATAAATAACAATGTGGTGGACATCTCCGTACAGCCACGTGGTTGCATCTGTGACAAACATTCTTGCTTTTGTTGGCTCAGCTCCAGGCCCACCTCCCTCTGATGACAGTAGCTTGATTTCCCTTTGGGGAACCACACCTGTCCCCTTCTTTCAGTCATGCGGCACCCACCACCAGCTCCAGGGGACTAGCTTCTAGCCACCTCAATAAAACTCAAAAATTTGACGCAGGCCTGGACAATCAGAGCATGGAATCCCGCCTAATTATAGAGATCGGTTAGAATGGACTCGGTAGCCTAGGCCTGGCCAATCAGGAATTTGTTTAAAGGGAGCCACATGACCCAAGGTGACCCAATCAGAATGGACCTTGGGACTTGCCCCGGACCTAGTGGGAAGAGACATTCTCTCTTTTCCTCTGACTTTCAGGCCAAGGTGGTTGGCCAGCTTGTTAAAGTAGAGCGTGAGAATGAAGTCCACATGCAGAGAGCAGAGGCCAGAGACAAAGGCGGACTGGATTCTGCAGACAATGAGCCCCTGATGAGCCTGTGCCTCAAGTTGGAATCCTAGCCTTTCCATGTTAAAATTCAACGCATTCTCTTTTTGGCTTAAGCCCAGTTGAGTTGGGCTTGCGGCCATTTGGAACCAACTAGCTCTGGCTTTATTAACTTAAATTTCTTGACTAGAATTACTGAGCCAAAGGACATAAACATTTTAAGCCTCTTGAGACCTATCAAGTTGCTTTCCAGAGTTTATTCTGCAGAGAGCAGCGCAGTGTCTGTGAGCCTAAATTACAAGCAGTAGCGCACTAGCTTAAGCATTTTAGGGGGGAAGAAATGATATGGTTTTTATTTTTAGTGACCTGAAATATGTTGTTTCATGTTTATAGGCCATTTTTACCTATTTTGTGATTTGTTAAATAGGAACAATTGGTGTCAATCTTTTTCTTTGTAAGAGTTTTTAAAATATCAAAAATTGTTCCTTTTTCACCTTTCTCAACATTTCCCCCCAGTTTGTCTTTAAATATTTTGATGTGTTCTGAGGTAGATGTAGTGTTTTAAAAACATTTTTATTAATTTCAGAAAGGAAGGGAGAGGGAGAGAGAAACATCAATGATGAGAATCATTGATCAGCTGCCTCCTGCACGCCTCACACTGGGGATCGAACCCGAAACCCAGGCATGTGCCCTGACCAGGAATCAAACTGTAACCTCCTGGTTTAGAGGTTGAGGCTCAACCACAGAGCCAGGCTGGCCGGGCAGTAGATGTATTTTTAATTTTTTTGTGATCAAATTATTTTCAGGTGTCACTGTTGCTTTCATGCTTCCAACATCCTTCCCAGCTGAAGGCCAGGCCAACGTGGACCAGGTTTTCTCCTTTTTGACATTCTGACACCCAGTATTTCTTGCCTGTGTTTGGAGCTCCGTCTGCATCAGAACCCCCTGGGGCCATGGTCGGCAAACCACGGCTCACGAGCCACATGTGGCTCTTTGGCCCCTTGAGTGTGGCTCTTCCACAAAATACCACGTGCGGGTGCGCACGTACAGTGCGATTGAAACTTCGTGGCCCATGCGCAGAAGTCAGTATTTTGTGGAAGAGCCACACGCAAGGGGCCAAAGAGCCGCATGCGGCTCGTGAGCCGCGTTTTGCCAACAACTGCCCTGGGGGCTTGTTAGATTATAGATTGATGGCCAGGTCACGGCCACACCAGGTGTCTGCTCTGATCATCCTGCTTCGCAAGGAGTGTGACAAAGCATCTGAACTTGACCTACGAATGAATGCACACCAGGTGCACAGCAGGCAGACGGCAGGGACAGGACGGCGACCAGCTCTCCGCAGAGCCCTGGCAGGCGAAGCTACAAAGCCAGCCAGCCATGCCTGGGCCCATATGGGGGTACTATGTCCAGCACCTGGCAGGAGGGCAGGCAGGTGAGGTGGAGTGGGGGCGGCTCTCCCAGAATGCCAGGTGCACCCCATCATGCAGATGGGGACCCGGAGTCCTGGCAGGGGGGATGTGCTCCAGGTGGGTCAGACCCCAGCTTAGGCATTTAGGATTGGCCATGACTCTAAGGCAGTGGTTCTCAAAGTGCGGCCCTGGGACCCGCAGCATCGGCATCACCGGGCATCGTGTTAGAAATGCAAATTCTAAGGCCTCCTCAGCCCAGACCTGCCAGGCCAGAAGCCCTTGGGTGGGGCCACGCCCTGTGTAACAAGCCTTCCTGATGCGTGTGCAGGTCCGCGAAACACTGGCCTAACGTGTGCCCACATAACAGGGAGGTTAATGGGATGCTTCAGGTCTGGAAAGTGGTTGTGGGGAGAGAAAGGGAACTGTGAGCATGAATGTGAGGGGGTCCCTTCCATGGACTGAGCGTTCATGCCTCCCCACCCCCATTCATATGGTGAAATCCTACCCCCCATGTAACCGTGGGGCCTTGGGAGGTGAGTAGGTCGTGAGGGCTCTGCTCTCACGAATGGGATTAGTGCCCTTACAAAGAGGCCGCAGAGAGCGCCCCCCCACCCCCCGGCCGCGATGGGAGGACAGCGAGAGGACAGTCCAGTGAACGGGGCAGTCCTGCCGCTGCCTTCATCTTGGACTCCCAGGCTCCAGAACTGGGAGAAACCAATGTCTGCTGTGAGGCCGCGCGGGCCACGGTCTTCTGTTACAGCGGCCGGATGGACCAGACATCCTCACGTGTGACCTCTGGACCAAAGCCCGAGCTCGCAGCCTGGCCCAGGGCCCACGACGGGTTCCCAGCCCACCTGCTCGGACGCCCAGCAGGTTCCTCCACCCGTAGCCAACCTGGAAGTCCCCACCCTGTGTTTCCTCCACTTCCTTCAGCCCCCCCCCCCCAACCTCCTCCTCCTGAAACCTGCCTCCAGCCCGACCGGAGAGGACCTCTGAGCCCCAAAGGCCCGTGAGATCAGAAACTCAAAAGGATGCTCCCTCCTCACACCCGCTCTGTTTAAACTGCTCTTCAGACCTGACCACACTCAGCCGCCCATCATGTTTAGCTCCTCTAATGACCTCGGTGGCCAAGTCCTCCCCCGACCCCCAGCCTCCCCTCCCCCTCCCCCAGCAGCACCTGGAATACAGCAGACCTCCGCGTCTGTGGAGGGAGTAGCAGCATCTTTTCTGAAACGCCCCTTTGACAGTTCATTCGCTGCTTTACCGCAGTTCGCTGCTCAACAGCTACTGTTAACTTTCAACTGTCACCTACACCAGCTCTCACCGGCAGGCAGACCTCCAGCGGAGAATTCTTTTCACAGCCGCGCTGGTTGCTGGGATGAGTTGACCCCAGTGACACAATCAAACCAAATGAGCGCCCTCCGTGCAGACCAAGCTTTCCCAGCCTTGACCTAGAATGTGAATCTGGGGAGGGGCCCCCCTGAGACCCTCTCGCCCAATATGACAGGTGGGAAAACCGGCCGGAGAGGGGCTTGGCCGTGCCAGGGCCTCCCGAAGACTAGCACTCCTTTCTGGCCTCTCCAGGACCCTCAGGGGTGGGCAGAAGGCACTGACTTGGAATTCAGATTCTGGGACCAGTAATGAAATGCCCCCCCCCCCAGTTCAGTACCCCAGCCCTCTGTGCTCCCCAGTCTGCTGCGTGCAAGGGGGGCTCTCCTGCATCCTGCAGCCCTGGGTGGCTCTTTACAAGAGTGTCTGTGACTCAGGCATCCCGACAGCCAGGCAGAGGTCCGTGGCCTCAGGTGAACCCACCGGTGACACAGGCAGTCCTGGCTCCTGGGGGCTAGTCTCCAGCCTGGGACTTCCCACCTGGCTGCTGCCTCTGATTCAGGAATCCCCCTCTCTTCCCCATGGTCCCAGGCAGACCTCATCTTGATCCCTGTCAACCCCCCCAATATAGGGAACAGCGCCCCATCCCAGCTGGGCCTAGGACCCCACCCATTCGCTCACTGCTCCCAGGCTGGTTCCCACCCACTCAAGGGCGCTGGTAGTGAGACAAGGAGGCCAAGCAGGTCAGGAGATGGTCGTGATGCTGGCCGGCCGGGTGGCCGTCGGCGGGTCAGCGCAGGGAGGAGCACTCTGAAGGCTCGGTGGTGGGAACAGGGGCCCTTGGGATGATATCTTGCCTCGTCGGACATTTCCTGAAGGATCTGGGGTGACTTCTGAATCCCTGGTCCTTGTGGCTACCGCCTGTCCAGCACACACTGGGTTCCATGAGCAGTACGATAAATTTCACGGTCTCCATTTTGTCCAATATAAATTTCTAGGAGGAAAAACAAACCTCTCATTTTTTATTCTTGACACCATTGCCCAGGGACCAAAGCACCATTAAAATCTGCCTACATCTCCTTTTGCTTTCACAAGAGCCCTAGCAAGGATGTGGTATCAGTGACGACTGGTGAATGAGAAAACCTAGGTTCAGAGAGGGTAAGGGACTGGCCTGAAGCTGCACAGCCCAGTGGTGGCCGAGCTGGAGGACTCAGAGTCCAGATCTTGTGTGGCTTCTTGAAGGTGGTTGCCTGCCTCTTACCACTGCTTCCTCCATAAAACACACCCTGGCTGCCCTCGCCTCCCTCCCTGAGAGGCATTCAGTTCTTGGGGACCAGGTAGCCCTTTATCTCCCCCGACCCCCAACTCTACCTAGCACAAAGCTGAGCACATGCAGGTGTGTCTCTCAAACTAGGTTGGGTGACTAGTACAGGAGACCTCTGGGACCCCTTGACATTACTTTTTTAGGGGAAGATGGAATGAATATACTGTAACTATTTAGACAAATGTACCCTTCTTCAAAATCACCTCATTCATTTTGCAACCAGAAGGAGTTAAGCCCCAGGGGATGCCAGTTATGCGGCCTTCAACATGGATGGTGCCTCTGAGCGATGCCACAGAGGGGCCCTGCTACTGCCCGTGACGTTCTTAAAAGAAGTGCTTCTCGACTAGGATGCAGGCTTGCTCACCGCTGACTGCTGCTACTGGACAACACTGGGGAAGGGACTTGCCTCTCTGGGCTCCAGAGAAGCGAAGGATCCTGTTTGAATGTCTCCACTGAACCTACCTCAAGTGAGGAAAGCAAGTCATGAGCTAGGATGAAGCCAGTACTGAAGGTGGCAGGCAGGGGAGGGTGGGAAGGCCAGGTCCTTGATGGTGCTACTGGGCCTCTGGTCACACCAGGCCTGAAACCCAGCCACCAAACATCCGCTCGAGATGCAAGACATGCCTGTTAGAAGAGTCCAACAACCTCACCCAAGAACGCGGTTGTGTGACTCACACCTACAGATTTCAAAGCTTATTACAAAGTTACAGTAGTCAAGATAGGGTGGTACTGGCATAAGGGCAGACAAATGGATCAATGGAATAGAAAGGGGTCCAGAACTAACACTTCTCCTTTTTTAAAAACAATATATTTTATTGATTTTTTACAGAGAGGATGGGAGAGGGATAGAGAGTTGAGAGTTAGAAACATCGATGAGAGAGAAACATCGATCAGCTGCCTCCTGCACACCTCCTACTGCGCAAAGGATCTGAATCGAACCTGCGACCCTTGAGTCCGCAGACCAATGCTCTATCCACTGAGCCAAACCGGTTAGGGCAATACTTCTCCTTTATGGGCAATTGGTTTTTGGCAAGGGCGAGGAGACAATTCAATGGAGGAAGAATCATTTTTTCAACAAATTGTATCAGGACAAATAAATATCCTTATGCAAAAGAATGAAATTGGATCCTTATATCCAATAAACAATTAATGTTTATACAAACATTAATTAAAAATGGATAATAAATCTAAATAATAGAGCAAAAACTACAAACTTCTTACAAAAAACTTAGGTATAAATCTTTATAACTTTGGATTAGGTAGGCAATGTTTCTCTTTCTTTCTTTTTTTTTTTTTAGATACGATGCCTAAAGCATAATAACCAAAGAAAAAATAGCTAAATTAGATTCATAAAAATTAGCATTTGTGCTTCAGTGGATACCATCAACATGAAAAGATAATCCATAGAACGAGAGAAAATGTTTTCAAATCACCGGCCAGCCCGGCCCTGCTCCCGGCCGGCCCGGCGACAGGAAGAGAGAGTCCCCTCCCATGGGAAAATCCGGCTTAAATAGGGGGGTGACGCAAGGGGATTGTGGGCCCTGCCGATTGGCCAGGCGTGAGCCGGGTCTTGTTACACAGGATGTGGTCATATCTATGGCGCGCACTTTCCTTGATTGTCATTGGTTAGTTTAAAATCCCGGGCGCGGCCAGCAGAGGCCTGGGCTTATATATTGTAGAAGGGACTTGTATCCAGACGAGGTAAGGACTTCTTACAACTCAACAATAAAGACAAACGATCCAGTTTAAAAATGCGCAAAGGATCTGAATAGATATTTCTCCAAAGAAGATATACAAACAGCCAATAAACACCTTATGAAAAGATGCTCAACATTCATCTTAGTCATCCAGAAAATGCAAATCAAAACCACAATGAGATACCACTTCACGTCCACTAGGATGGCTAAGTGGCAAAAGACAGATAATACCAAGTGTTGCGGAGGAAATGGGGAAAGTGGAAGCCGCATACATGGACCCTAGGGTTGTAAAATTTTGCAGCCACTTTGCAAAACAGTATGGCAGTTCCTCAAACATAGTTAGCACATGACTCAAATTCCACTCCTGCGTGTATACCCAAAGTAATTGAAAAGACATGTCCACACGAAAACATGTTCATGAATGTTCATAGCACATTATTCATAATAGTAAAAAAAATGGAAATAACCCAAATGCCCACCAACTGATGAATGGCTAAACCAATTGAGGGTTAGCCAAACAATGGGCTATTTTCAGCCACTTAAAGGAAGGAAGTATTGATTCATGCTCCTGTACGGATGAAACTTGAGGACAGTACGTGAAGTGAAAGAAGCCAGATGCAACATGCATTGTGGGGGGCGATGAAGACGTTCAGGAATTAGATACTAATGACGGTCGGGCGACTCTATACTGAAAACACTGAAGTGGGCGCTTTAAACGGGGAAATGTTATGATATCTGAATTACATCACAACAATATTGTGATTAAAAATAAAAAATAAATATATATGCTCTGCTGTCAGTGGAAGCCAATGTGGTCACATGTTCCCTGTCACTGAGCATCAGCGTTATGATGATGGGGGTTTGGGCCTATGGGGCAGTGAGAAGGGACACTTCCCTGGACTTGACTGAGAGTCTTAAGTTTAAATTGAGGTCTCGTCACACAGCTCCCTTACTCACCGAAATGCCCCTCCCAGCACACACACGTGTAAATGTGGGGCCTCATGTGTGTGCACTTTGGTGTGTGTGTTTGCAGGTGTCAGTGTGTGTTTCGTGTGTATGTTAGGTGTGCAGAGAGCCCCTGAGAATGTCTGTATGAGTGTGTACACAGCGTGTGTGTGTGTGTGTGTGTGTGAGTGTGTGTGTGTGAGTGTGTGTGTGAGTATGTGTGTGTGTGTGGTGTGTGTGAGTGTGTGTGTGTGAGTGTGTGTGTGAGTGTGTGTGAGTGTGTGTGTGAGTGTGTGTGTGTGAGTGTGTGTGTGAGTGTGTGTGTGTGTGTGAGTGTGTGTGAGAGTGTGTGTGAGAGTGTGTGTGTGAGTGTGTGTGTGTGAGTGCCTGTGTGTGTGTGAGTGTGTGTGTGTGAGTGTGTGTGTG